TATTTACAATAACAAGGTTTCCATAACACAAATAAAGTTTTCTATACTTTCTTCGTCGCTTCCACTCCGGGCTTCTTTCTTATACAGATAAACAGCTTCACTCTCACAAAGCCTCCTCTCACATCAAAATTACACATAGCTTTACATAGTAGCTTTACACAGAAGGCCTTCAACCTGGGGCTTTTTTTCATTGAAGCTTCTCACACCAGGCCTTCTCACACTCTGACTTCAAATAGACTTAAGGCCTACCTCACACTGTGAGGCCTACTCACACAGGAGCTGCTCTCATAGACTAAGGCCTACCTCACACTGAGGCCTACCTCACACTGAGGTTTCTCTAACAAAGGCCTACCTCACACTGTGAGGCTTACCTCACACAGGAGCCTCTCTCACAGACTGGCCTACCTCAGACACTGAGGCCTATCTCACACAGGAGCTTCTCTCACAGACTAAGGCCTACCTCACACAGGAGCCTCTCTCACAGACTGGCCTACCTCACACACTGTGAGGCCTATCTTACACAGGAGCTGCTATCATAGACTAAGGTCTACCTCACACTGTGAGGCCTACCTCACACAGGAGCTTCTCTCACAAACTTAAGGTCTACCTCACACAGGAGCTTCTCACAGACTAAGGCCTACCTCACACTTTGAGGCCTATCTCACACAGAGGTTTCTCTCACAGACTAAGGCCTACCTCACACTGTGAGGCCTTCTCTCAGACTGAGACCTTTCTCCCACTAAAATTTATCTCGGACCAACAGCTACTAAGCTACAGGCACACCTGCTTATATAGAACTGCAGCTTTTGCTGAGCCATTGCATCCATTTAACCCTTTCCGTGCTTTACTCACATTTTTGTAATTTAAAATACCTAGTTAATTTTTAATATTCCTGACAGGCCCATAATTTGTTTAGACCTTGACATAGTGTTTCATTTCATTACCTCAAGCCACCACAGAGTAAGCAGTTGGGCAAACAAATGTATAATGGAATTGAATGTGAAATACTGAGGCCTGTGTATTTTTGTGCAACAAAGAAAGGCCAGTAGGTTTTAAGAACTCGTTGGGCTGTGTTGTTGTATATTAGTAAAATGCTCAATAATTTATTCTCTAGTGCAGCGTTTCTCAACCTGGGGGTCGCGAGGGGGTTTCAGAGGGGTCACCAAAGACCATCAGAAAACACAGTATTTTCTGTTGTTCATGGGGGTTCTGTGTGGGAAGTTTGGCCCAATTCAATCATTGACAATCTCGATACAACAAACACCAGACGATCGAGCTAACAGCAGCAAGCAGGTGCTTCTTGAAGCGTGTCTGCGGCGCCGATCTAATGACGTCCGTCGGTCCACCAGCGACACCTCCAATCGCAACAAAATGGTCGACAGGAAGACTCGCATCTTTGTAGACACCCCACTTACACCCCGCTAGTCACGCGCTAGCGTACTACAGACGCGTGCATATCGCAACCGCAATTACAGGACACACACGCGGCGGTCCAGAGCCATCATGTGCGTTGTCCCCACAGGCTCTTGGATGTGGTGAACTACAACTCAACCTTCCAGGTCCTACATATGCTTCGCCCCACTGTTCCCGTCGCAGTGCGTTTGCCCCGGTCTATGGCAGTTCTGTGAACACGTTGTTCAATTCATAGGTGGTGAGTGAATAATCTTGATGTCGATGAAATACCTCCCGCAACTACACTCCCAAATGCACAAAATCCTCCTTTTGAGTGATGCACTCTTGGTTTGCAAGATGTTTTTGTTGCCAACTTTGGAGTTGATTCATTCTTGGTTCTTTTGTTCACAAAACACCACTCCTCTGCCACGTCACGCATGGACGCAGTGCGAGTAAAAACCAGAGACTCGTCGATCAGATCGAGCACCTAAGACATACAAGACACAGAATAAGCACACGCTAGATAGATCGCCAGCCCAGATGCTATGCAGAACACACGCGAGCCTTCACACACTGCAACAACAGTAGCCAGTTCAGTTACGAGTAGCAACCCAATGACACACATCCGTCACACACTTGGGGGTCCCCACTACCCAATGAGGACTTTATATACGTGGTAGCATTGCATAAATGCAGGCTTGAGAACAACACTTAGCGTGTCGCTCCCATGATAGTAGCTTGAGCGGAGAGACGGGTGGCATTAAGAAGGTTGAGAACCACTGCTCTAGTGGGTGTAAAGCAGGCATGGGCATGGGCAAACTTGGGTCCTCCGAGTGTTTTGGACTTCACCCACCAGTCTTTGTCTGGTGGGGAAAAAATGGAGTCACCATCCAGGGAACCTCCATGGAGAGCATTCCTGAAGTGTGAAGCACCATATTAAGACGGACCTTTTAACCCCGTACTATACCTCTGTTTGTTGGAGCAACCCAAGAGGGCTGTTCTCAAAACATAGGTATGCATAAAAAGCATCCTTCATGCATCAAAGAGCCTTTAAGGTCAGAACGAGTGCTTTGAATTGGATTTGTCAACAAAGAGGAAGCCAGGGAGCCAGTTACTTGCATAACATGAACATAATGGTAGTCTCAGTACTCTTGTAGCCATGTTCAGTGCCAAGCGCAGTTCCCTGTCTTCAAGGGCAGACTTACAAAACAGTGCAACTTTTAGCCCCAATTTGTTGGGGCTTTGTATCCATCAGCCTCCACTCCGGTAAATATTATGGTTTGCTACTCATTGGCTATATTTCAGAGCAGGCATGGACAAATTTCGCCCCTCCAGTTGTTTCGGACTTCAACTCACACCATTCCTAACAGCTCGGTGACTTTGTTTCAAACTTGGTGATACTTTATTTCGGGGAAAATTGAGGAAAGAAATCTTTCTTGGTGCTTGCTGTCTTGCCAGGTGTTCCGAATCCTCTTTTTGGGTCTGGCTACTTCCCAGCGGATGTCAGGTGGTGCAATACCGGCAAAGCAGTGTAATTTCTCCAGTGGTGTAGGGCGCAGACACCCCGTGATAATGTGGCATGTCTCATTAAGAGCCACATCCACTGTTTTAGTGTGGTGAGATGTGTTCCACACTGGGCATGCATACTCAGCAGCAGAGTAGCATAGCGCAAGGGCAGATGTCTTCACTGTATCTGGTTGTGATCCTCAGGTTGTGCCAGTCAGCTTTCGTATGATATTGTTTCTAGCACCCACTTTTTGCTTGATGTTCAGGCAGTGCTTCTTGTAGGTCAGAGCACGGTCCAGAGTGACTCCCAGGTATTTGGGTGCGCTGCAATGCTCCAGTGGGATTCCTTCCCAGGTGATCCTCAGAGCTCGGGATGCTTGTCTGTTCTTAAGATTGAAAGGCACATGTCTGTGTTTTAGATGGATTAGGGATCAGCTGGTTTTCCCTGTAATAGGCAGTAAGAGCACCTAGAGCTTCGGAGAGCTTCTGTTCAACCATCTCAAAGCTCCCTGCTTGAGCAGTAATGGCACAATCATCAGCCCCTTGTAACGCAATGGGTTAAATCCTTGTGCCGGCAGCACTGAAGACCGACAGGTCGGAGGTTTGAATCTGGGGAGAGCGTGGATGAGCTCCCTCTGTCAGCTCCGGCTCCCTTGCGGGGACATGAGAGAAGCCTCCCACAAGGATGGTGAAACATCAAAACTTCCGGGCGTCCCCTGGGCAACGTCCTTGCAGACAGCCAATTCTCTCACACCATAACCGACTTGCAGTTCCTCAAGTTGCTCCTGAAACAGGAAAAAAAATGCTTATAGTTTAGCAAATGAACACTAGATGGCACTTGAAGGTTGCCTTTTCTTTTCCAATCGTATCTTTTTAGGGAAGAAGCAGTTCCTCCATCCATCCCAGTGTTTGCAGTTAATCATCATGACTCTCCCTTGAGACTTACTTTGGTGGAAGGCAAACAGGCAGCAATTGCTGAGTGAAAGCTGGCAAAAAGTGGGGCGTGTTGAGGAGGGGAAACTATGTTTATAATTGAAAGAAGATTTAGAAGGCTCGGCTGTTTGCACAGTCACTTCTGGCCTATGAAAGATCCTGGGATGCCTATGGCTTCATTCCCCTTGGGTTGCCACAAGAATGGAAAAATCCAGCAAATCGAAACATTCTCCTCACCCTCCATTCTCTTCTTTAATTTGCTATGTCCTTGAGCGTCTTCAGCCCCTTCCTGTGCGAGGCATAAGGAAACATAGTCGAGTTATGAGGATCTTTATGAATATTGCTCAGTCTCTGAGCTGGCAGGGGCTTGTAAGTCTTCAGACAGGTACGCGGTGTCTCCTGCCATTGTGTTTTGGCTTCAAGACGGTTAAATAAGTCTCAGTATTAAATAAACTTCAGTGACCCGGCCTATTTCCTGCCCCATCAAATCTTTCCTTGTAAGAATAACAGTGTCCTTTTCTTTGGTGAGAGTCGAGTGTGCTTTTTTTGGCAGGCCTGGCGTTTTCAACTTGCATACATTTGTGACCTCAAGTGAAACTAAAGTGAACACTTTGCTTCAGTGCTTAA